CGCTCAAAATGTTCCATTTCTTGTAGAAACTTTTAATTTTTGTGCATGTTTTATTACCACTCTGTAGAAGAGAATTAGCTGGCTTTTACTGAAGTTTCAGCTATAAAATTGGCTTTAATAAAGTATGTAATTATTTTTTTCTGCAGGGAAAATATTTAAAACGGATTGTTTCTTATTTTAGGAGTTTTTTTTAAAAACCATAAAATTATAATATTTCTGTTTCGCTTTGGTGCATTTGAGATGTTTTGAATGCTCAGAATTTAGTGTAACCAAGCAACAGTTTTTCTTTTTTATATGCACCCATGAGCTGTAAAACACTGCAAAAATCCTATATTGGAAAAAAAATGTGCAGTGTTTTACTCATTCTATGTCATCTAAAGAACATGGAAGTATCAAAATTTCTTCTGAAGAACGAGTAACAGATGTCATTGTTAGTATTTTATTTTATTTTATTTTATTTTATTTTATTTTATTTTATTTTATTTTATTTTATTTTATTTTATTTTATTTTTTATCTGTGGTTCTGCAATTCTGTGATTTTCTTAATGAAACTCAGTTGCGTGAAAATGCTATATTTTATGATGATATATTTTACCTGGGTTCTAGCATGCTCTGTGAGGGGCAAGTGCCGAGCGAGGTCCCCACAGGACATGCGGGCACCAGAAGGACTCATGAACAGGATAGTGGCAGGAAGGAAAGTGTCGGACCTAAGGCTGCCCTCAACATTTACCAGAGCTGGTGCCCCCATCTTTGCCTGTTGCACACGCAGAGGAAAGCCAGGTATCTGCTGTGGTTCTTTGCAGCACCGAATGTCAGAATGGCACAGAAGAGAGCACAAAAACATCACTGGAACTAAGCAGCAGCATCTGTCCTCCAGCGTATATCAAACACGGCTTAATAACCTCCTATTTACTGATTCGCTGCAGAAGTCCAGTAAATAAAGAAATCGACTGAATTGGTCTATTTTTATACCTCTGTCCTGTGTAACAAACCTCTTGAACCACACTTAATATGAACAGCAAATTTCACACTGCACATCAAGATCTCTCAGCACAGATTAAATTAGTTATAATAAAACAATTAGAATCTATTTGCCTGCAAACAGGAGGAAATGAAGGACCGGGGCAAGCGGCAGAGGTAAGGACAGGTTGTCAGGACGTTGTAAGAGTAAACAGCAGAGCAGCGGTTCTCCGGAGCAGCACAGGGTCAAGCTTGCAGCAAGATAACTGCGCTAGAGATAATAAATCAGTAGTACGTATTAAACACCAGATGGTTGTGCCCATGCAGGAAGGCACGATGGATCATATAGCTGTGGTTGTGTTTGCAAGGATTACTGATGCAGCCTGACTTCACAGGGATATCCTAACAAATAAAATCTTTATGGCCTTTTCCGCTAGCAAATGTTTTCATCTACTGTTTAAAGACAGGACCACATGTCATAGCAATTTCATTGCCTCTAAAATATATGCAAAAATAATTTGATAAGTTCACCCATTTTTTAAGTGGTGCATATTTTTTGCTCTCTAGTACTGTAAAGTTGCTTCACAGTGATAGTTACAAATACTCAAATGAACAAAGCAGCCCATTGTTCCAAGCTCAGCTGAATCCCCTAAGTGTTTCAGGCATAGAGGCAAACACACTTAAAAACCCCTAAACCTATTGAGTTGTCTTTCAGAATTGTCCAGGCAACAGAATTTATTTATAAAACTCTTGCAATCATTGATTCAAAACAAGGTTTTCTTGTTCTGCTTTTCTCCTTTGTCCTCTTTGAACAATTTTCTTTGGAATGTTTTCGTTTTGCTTAGGAGTCAGAGATTTCCCGGGGCTTCTAATAAAGGCATTTGATTTCCACTCTCCGCATACTTTAACAAGTCCAAGGATTTTGAGCTTTGACATTAACTTACGAGAGCTGGAGATAATCAGCCATGGGGGCAAAAAGGCAGAGTTATGCAAATTATTTGTAAAACGTATAGAAAGAAAAAAAATCTTTAAATGTTGGTGCGAGACAGAGCGTCTCAGCGCAGAATATCTGCATGCCCCTCTTCAAATTTATTGCTTTGATTGAAACCTGCAAAGGGGTGATCTGTAAAGTATTCTTGCTATCCTACACTTCTCAACAGGTTTATTACCATTCGTTTATAAAATGAACAGTCTAATGAGCAGTGGTTTAGATCACAGATATCAAAGTCTGGTCATTTGTCAAGATTAGTTTCCTGTTGTGAGATTGCCTTGTGCAAAAAAAGTGCATAACCCTGGGTTACTCTCTGGAAGCTGAAAAAGAGACTATAAACACTTGATAAGATAAGTTAAAAGAAGATTTCATAATCTCAGAATTAGATCCCATTCAGCCAAGTCACTGTGTGGTGTGAATGCATGTTGTAGTGCTGGGAGCATCTGAGTGTGGATTATGGCATTTTGTTGTGTTGACAAAGGACAAATCATAGGACATTTGTGCGGCATCATCAGAAATGCAGCTGCTAACTTGAGCAAGATAACACTGCTTGGATGGCAATGTAGTTCTTTATAACTAAAAGATTATCTTTGGTAGTATTGCAGGGAAAGTATCATCTTTTGGCTGTATTCTATTGCCAATAAATAATAAGTAATATTTTCTATTTATTTCGGATGGTTTTTATTTTGAAGAAAAAGAGAAATAACACTTGATAAAGCAGTATGCACCAGAGGTGCTGCTCAGGTTTTTATTTTGAAGAAAAAGAGAAATAACACTTGATAAAGCAGTATGCACAGAAGGTGCTGCTCAGGTAAACACTGCCCTCCTCAGCAGCAGCATAAGGAGAAAGAAGGTACTTTGTTCTTTGCCTCAGTTGACGAAATTGTGTTCCTGGTCCCTACTGAAAAAACTGAACAAGTGCGGAAGTGGGGAAGCTGTGTGCTTTCCTCCTCCAACCATGCTGCATTTGTGCTTTGACTTTCCCTGGTGGATGGCAGATTTGTGGTTGGCTTGGGGATGGTTTTGCCTGGCAGAAGCTGGGGACAGCAGTGGTCTCAGCTAATGAGATGCACCCTGTTGATGTCCATGCAGGGTCTATCCCGCTTTTCTCAGAGCCCCGCAAGTACCTATGCAAAATGTCTGCAGCAGACCTGGCCCCGACCCCATTCCAGGAAAACTGCCCTTCTCCTCGCTCCCTGGCGAGGCCGGAGGAGGTGACGGTCCCTGCCCTGAGGGGCTGGAAAGGAGCTGGAGCCACTGGAGAGGCAGATGTCCTGCACCACATTTGCTGATGTTCAGCTTCTCTGAGCATGCTGCATCATAACAGCTCTCCTCAGGCAAAAGATGCAGGCTTAATTAAGCTCATTCGAATAGGTTTAAGCAGTTAAGTAGAAACAACATTTCAAAGTGGTTAAAATGCTTGCTCTTTTCTTCCCCTTGGTGCTTTAATCCTATCAGATATGTTGTTATGTATGCATAAAAATATTTGCTGTGTAGGAATTTTCTAGCTAAAGCATTGTAATATTTTTGCAAACTTTGCGAGTTGTTGTATTAAAAAAAAAAAATCCTTACTGTTAAAGTTTGCAAAGCAGAAAAAAAAAAAAAAAAAGGCAGTAGACGGCTGGAAATAAAACGGCTTCTCTCGCTGTGGTGGCCATCAGTGCCCAAAGGCCTCATCTTGTTTGATGGCCTCAGCTCCCTGTGTACCTGGAGAGGCAGCTCAGGCGTGCGGGGATGGTGCAAGACGTGACTTGGCCACTGGGCAACAGAGCAGATCACTGCTATAAGGCCAAAAGATACTGGCAGAAAAAAAGCAGGTTCATGGGCATTTGGCCTTTCTTTCTATTCCGTAAGCAGAGGTAAGCACGTTGGTGCCGCTGCCCGTTCGTGGCTCCACAGCCCTGCTGGCGTGCGGCCGCCGCCATCTTGCTGCTCCTGCTTGGCTCACACAAAATGGCGCCTCCACGGTCTCCGCCACAGGCTGTGTGCTCCTGAACAGGCCTTGTTGGCCTCTTCTCCAAAAGCGATTGTTCTGAGCACAAAAAGCAGCAGAACACCCATCCTAAAGGCACAGTGGTGCAGTTGGGGTCATTATGTTCCAGAAATGTAAATACTTATGCACCTTCCGCTGTGATGTATTGTCATGAGACGTTGAATTTCAAATCACCAAGCCCATTCGTGATGCAGGGATGTAACTTCACTATTCATCTTCACTTGGAACAAGCTCCTCTTGCAACCTTGCTTAGGGAGATTCCCTATTGACATTAGAAAAGCAAAATAAAATTAAGCTAAATCATTCAAGCTTTATCTTAGAAAATTAACAGTGGATGAAAGAAGGGTTTGTGAAGGTTTAATAAGAGCTAGTCTGGATTACAGTGTGTATTCGAGAGCCTGTGATTATAGAGGTAATTTAGCAGATTGTATCACAGCCTATCTCAGCCAAAGGATGTTTCACACCATTTAAAATGCACTGTGCTCTCCTCGGGGACAGGTTGTTCTGGAAAAACCCACCGTCTAAAGGAAAGCCCTGTTATCTGCTCCCCTTGCCGTGTGCGTCATCCCCTCCTTGGCATGAGCGCCAGTTCACTGCTCATCCCTGCGCCTCCCTGGAGACAGATGGTGCTGGGACAGGGAGCATGATATCGGCTCGACAGGCTGTAAGCAATGGTATCAGAGCGTCCGATTGAAAGAAAAAGAAAAAGAAAAGAGAAAAAAAAAATGACTCAGCCTTTTCCCTGAAATCTGAATTAAAATTAATTTGAACAACATCTCCAGACTGAGAGCTGCTTTTTGTTTCTCCTTTTGAAGAGGATCAAAGCAGTGAGAAATTTGGTGCTCCTCACACAGATGAGGCAGAAGTGGCTTGAGACGCTGACCAAGGGGCTGGGACTGAGGTGACTTGCGAGTGTGGATGTCACCAAGACTCTGGGCACAGGTCTCCAGTGTGCTAGTGTGTGTAGCAAACCGGTCGGTGGTGAAGTTGAACAGTTTGTTGTGTTTAAAAACAGGCAGTGGATGATCTGACGTTGCCTCTGACTCCCTCTTGCAGGCTATTCGCTGCCAAGTGCAGCGGGTGCATGGAGAAAATCGCCCCGACAGAGTTTGTGATGAGAGCCCTGGAGTGCGTCTACCACCTGAGCTGCTTCTGCTGCTGCGTTTGCGAGCGGCAGCTGAGGAAAGGGGACGAGTTTGTTCTTAAGGAAGGACAGTTGCTCTGCAAAAGTGATTATGAGAAAGAGAAAGATTTGTTGAGCTCGGTCAGCCCGGACGACTCGGACTCAGGTGAGCTTCTCCCACACCTCTCCTGACTAGAAAGGCCACGAGGGCTTGCAGAGCTTTTGGCTGAAAACATCCCCTTGCACACCCGTGTGTCTGCATGCACACCCCACCAGGGCAGATTGCAGCTTCTAGCAGGCACCGTAAAACCCTTGCTTCACTCTCCTCCGTAACCTCTCTCCCTTCCTTAGTTTGCTGCTTAGTAAAGGACAAAAGCTTTTAACAAGCTGTCAAGATTATGGTTTTCTGTAAAATTGCAGGGAGTGAATCTGATTTCTGTTACCTGGATCAGATCAAAGCGTGTTGTCTCCTTCAGGCATCACAACTGTATTGTGACCCAAAAGCATCCTCACATGCACTTGGGTATTTTTGCTTCTAATTCAGGCATCTGCACTTTGAGCAGTGAGATAGGAAAATGGTAAAAATGGCGGTATGTTCTTCTAGATGTTTGTCTCCTGCCAATCGCAAATGATAACTCTAAGAAAAGCTAAAGGCGTGAATTTGAAAGAAAGATGCACATGTTTTGGTTCCTGCCATGGCAAGTGCAGTGCAGAGGGAGCCACTGGGATGCTCAACGTGGCTCAGCACAGGGCTCCTCTCTCCGTTGCCCCATCTTTGCTCCACCTCGCTGGAGCTGGAAACTCAGGCACTACAGACAGCATGTAAAGAGTTTGCTGCCAGCCTCGTAATTGCTCTTTATTTCCTTAGAAAATATCTAAGAAAATCAACAATTACTATTCTATTAAGTGGGCAAATGGCATGAATGTTCACCTCTGGTTTACGGGAAATAATATTATTCCCAGTTTAACTAAGAATGTTCCTCATCTCTAATTGTTCCTCATCTCTAATCTGAGAACCATATTCACCACGTTGCTCAAACTCACATTTTCGTGTCAAGAATGCAGCAAGACAAAGGTCACTGCTGACTCAGCAGGATGCACAGCTCCCACAGACTTTCTCAGAGCAGAGCATTATTTATTGCCGTACACTGTTTGCAGCACTTCTTTGCTCTGCAGACCTCATCTTGCAGACTTTGGGCTCTTTGTGAGTGTGTCTGAGGTGTGCACCCTCTCTTCTGCCCTTCAGCCTATTGCAGCTCACTACATCTCAAGCAGCCCCAGTCAGTCCATGCCCCAACAGAGTCCAGCAGCTTCCAGTGTGTCTGTCCCCAGCCTGGATGCAGACCCCTCCTCGCAGAGCACCATCTGCCGGGCTGTCTCCGTCCTCATCCTTGGCCACCAGCAGCCACGTGCACCCTGCTACCCTGGCCCATGCCGAGCAGTCTCACCACCACAGAGACTTGTGATCAGTCAGTCCTCTTTGCCAGCTAGGTGCCTTTGAGATCACTTTGATGTGGCCGTGCTCTCCTTTGCTCCCTGATGCTGCTGGGGCTTTGCTATCAGCTGGGCAGAAAGGCATCAGAGCAGCACAAAATAGCGAAAGGTTTAAATTTCATTTTCCCTTGGCATCTTTAGTTTCTTGCTCCTGAAGAGGCCTCCCTTCCTTCTCTTCCTTCTCTTCCTTCTCTTCCCTCTCTTCCTTCTCTTCCTTCTCTTCCTTCTCTTCCTTCTCTTCCTTCTCTTCCTTCTCTTCTTCATTATTCTTTGTCTTAATCAAACCCAAACCTGAAAAACTACTTGATAAATTAAATGGGATGTTTTGTCTCCTGTTGTCTAATCCATGAAAACACAGATCTCCCAAATGCCTGTGTGAGCACAAGCCATTTCACAGCTCTGGCTGAGGATGTGTCCTTCTCCAATCAAATATTTATCCGCTGGACACAAAAGTAACTCTCCAATGGGCAATATTAATCCTCACAAACCTTTCCGTAGAAATGGCATGCTGGAAAGTTAATAATGTCATGGTTATTAAAATGACTGAACTTCTCTTTAATCATTATGCAAAAGATGCTTATTAAAGTAAAAGGTGATTAGATTGCTAGGTGCATAATAAGAAGACCCAAAAATGAATTAAAAGTCTAATTTGCTAATTCCCCAAATGTAGCCTTTGAGTATACCAAAATTGCAGTGTGTTTCTTAAAGTTCTCCAGAATAGTATGTTAATGTTTTCTGAAAGAAAAAGCAGTAGTCTGATGAAATAAAAAGCAATGAGCTTAAATGTTATTTTTAGGAATGAAATAGGCACTTACTTGTCAATCTTTGACACTGAGATTTTCCACTGCAAAGAACTAATGCATATAATACCACCAAATCATAAGTTATGCAGACCCTAACTACAAGAAATCAAGCAATCTATTTGCTCTGCACATGTACATATATATTTGTATTTATCAAAAAAGAGAAATTTGTGCATGCACTTAGAAACATTAAAAATTAAACATATTTTTGTGCTTTCTTAGAATTCAATTTAGACAGAGTGCACATCTGTGATGATCTCCACTAGCTGAGAGCGCATTTACTCAAAAGGACATAGGATGATAGTGAAACCTGTGAACTAGGTGGGCAGCTGTGGAGCAGTCCTCAAACACTCTGTTGTCTCAGTGGAACAAATATGATTTTATAGCCTGTTTATTTTTTCACTAGTTAAAAGTGATGACGAGGATGGGGACGTTAAGCCCACCAAAGGACAAGTAGCCCAAGGGAAAGGAAGTGATGATGGGAAGGATCCAAGGAGACCTAAGCGACCGAGGACAATACTCACAACGCAGCAGAGACGAGCGTTCAAAGCTTCGTTTGAAGTGTCTTCCAAGCCCTGCAGGAAGGTAGGTGTTTCCCCAGGCAGGTCACTCAGACACCGGCCTGGCGTGTGAAAGGCCAGGCAAAACGTGGCATGCACCTGCCCATCTAAAAGGTGGATTTCTTGGGACAATATATTGTGCCTTTTAAAGTTTGAAATTGTATTTGAAAAAATGTGTATTTGAAAAAATCAGTTCTGTCCATATGAATCTTACTGTAAGTATAGACATCTTCTTCTGAATATAGCTTATTAGAGGTTGTTTTTTTTAAAAAAAAAAAAAAGTTGCATCATTAAACATTTCCTTCTGTAGGTCAGAGAAACACTAGCAGCTGAAACAGGACTCAGTGTGCGAGTTGTCCAGGTCTGGTTTCAAAACCAAAGAGCAAAGGTAGGTTGTTTGTCAAGTTCTCAAATGTAAAACACAAATCACCTTCCAACACAGAGGCTTCCTGTCCCTTCAGATACAGTGCGTATCACACAGACCCCAGGGACTAACCTTCAAAAAACTGCATGCATTTTTGCTTCACTCCTGTGAATATTTTGCACGCACTACTGTCTACATCCATATGAGAAGGGCTTTTCTCAAACACAGATATTAAGTTAGCGTGTTCAAAGCAGCATGAGGTTGGGAGTAGATTTTGCATGCAAATATGAACTAGAAACCCAAATGTTTAAGTTTAGGAATGAAACTGAACCCACAGTGGTGTGTGCATGAATATGCATGGTCTGTATTAGCCAGTTTGATGTTTGCAGAGAGTTTTGTGAGGAAAGAGAATTGTTCCATTAAAACCCAGGAGATTTTTCTGTTCTTCCTCTTTTATTCAGATGAAAAAACTAGCACGAAGGCATCAGCAGCAGCAGGAGCAACAAAACTCTCAGCGACTAGGGCAAGGTAAGACACTTGTGATGGAGGCAAAGCCAAGAGAAAGGGATCTGCAAGGTTTCTGGACATGCCCTTCTCATGTGGGTGCACAGCATCTGCATACGGCCATGTATGGTGTTCACAAGTCTATGTATAATTTGTGKCATAATCTGTGGAAACGCAGAGATTCTGTGTCCAATCCCACCCAGCTATTCTGAGTTGCACTCTTGAAGTGGGGTTTGGAGGGCTGCTCTGAATGTCAGGATGCCCTGGCCGTGCTCACTCAGCTCGCCAGCCCCCTAAGAGCCACCACTGCTGCTGTCTGCAGGCTCTTCATTGCCCAGCAGTGACCGTGCCCTGCTTGCTTTGCAGAAGTGATGTCCAACCGCATGGAAGGGATGATGACGTCTTATACGCCACTTGCACCTCCACAGCAGCAGATTGTAGCAATGGATCAAAGCAGTTATGGCACAGACCCGTTTCAGCAGGGTCTTACCCCGCCACAAATGCCGGGCGACCACATGAACCCTTATGGTAAGGCATGCATCATTCTGCCACATCAGAAATAGCAGGATCCGTGTGCTGGTTCACACACCAAGGGCTCAGTAGAGTGACCTGCTTTTTTTTTTTTTTTAAATGGGATTTTTAACAGGGAATATGTTGAATCAGTCAGTATCGTGTGTGTGTTTTCATATGCACATAAGTGGGTGGAAGAGAGCTCATCCTAGGGTCTGGAAACCCTTCTGAAGTATTTCACAGTATAAGTCTTATAATTGGTACAGCAAGCAACATCAGTGCTCCAGCTCCAGTTTTTAAACTACTGTTTAGGACATCTGAAAATAAACACTACTAGTTTTTCTCTATCTCCCTCACAAGTTTTTCCTTTTTTCCTAGAAGCTTTGGGGGAAAAGTGCCTTGAAAAGTGGTTTAATAAAGAGAAGTAATTTGTTGGTTCCAAAATAAATATCCATCTGTCTAAGATCCCTCAAATTGGATGCATGGATTTGTTAAAGAGCCATTCTTGAGCTACTGGAGATGTGTCACCACAGAACATTTCTCCTCTGTGATTTTATAGTCTGCCCAAAATTGAGATGATGCTTTTATGATTTCCCATTGCATAACATAGAGTGGATAGGTACCAAGTGCATATCAAATATTAAGTGCCTAATAATTCATTCTGGATAATTGCAGTGTGGCATTTAAACTTAATTTAAAGGGATCTCGCAGACCATGATGGTTAGTCCATGAGGGCCAGTTACCTCAGACCCTTCTGTGGACCAGGAGCACTTCAGTGCAGAGCTACACGTGTGCATCTCGTTCTCAAGAGCGCCGTGCACAGACCAGCTGGAGACCTGGCTTGGTTTGTGCCATTGCACATCCTCGGTGCACGCCGAGCAGCTTGGTAAACACCACAAGGAGCTGAAGCTTCAAGCATATTTCATGAGTAAATCTGAAGCTTGAGTGAGCACTAATGGTTTGTGATTTTGTTGCTAACAGTTTGCTTGGCTTCCTAAGCAAATCTACTCTGGAGACATGTTCTGTGTTTCAAAACCAGTGCAGGATATAACACAAAGCCATTTTAAATTAATGTATAAAAAATGAACCAGAGGGATGTTTTCGTAGTGCTCATAGTACTTGAGTAAGAGCTCCTTCTGAGGACTGTAGCACTGAAGAAATTTATTTTTTACTTGCTAAGGGAAATAAAAGGTGCTGCTACAAACCAGCTCCAAAGGTAGAGTTTTCTGAAGTGAAAATGTGTTTGCAGCTAGAGATCTTTTGAGCCCAGGAAAGCTGGGCCTCCCCCTGGGTTCCTTCACATTTAGATCCATTTCTGGCCACCTTCTGTGTAAGTGAAGACCATTATTTGCTATGGGTCGCAGATGACCTTTCCCGTCACGGGCAGTGGAGCAGCTCCCACATCCGTGTTGGCTCGCGGTCCCCCAGGGCAACCTGGCACACAGAGCGGCAGGGACTTGCTCATGTGGCTCAGCCCGGCTCCCCTCCGTGCTGGGGACCAGAGTGCAAATCAAATATCGGCGCGTTTCCACCCAAGCTGCGTGGGGCTGCGATCACTCATCTGTGCCGTGGCGTGACGCGAGGTGAGCATGGAAAACCAGCAGCAAGACGCGCCCCTTTGCTGCAGAGCAGTGCGTCAGCATCCCGTGTACTGTGTCCTTCTCCCTGCACAGACTCCGTCTTAATGTGTGCGTTTCATTTGCAGGAAACGACTCCATTTTTCATGATATCGACAGTGATACCTCTCTAACTAGCTTGAGCGACTGTTTTCTTGCCTCTTCTGAAGTTAACTCCATGCAGGCTAGAGTAGGAAACCCCATTGACAGGCTGTACTCTATGCAGAGCTCCTATTTCGCCTCATGAAAATAAAAGAAAACAAACAGTCGGCGCATATTTAGCCCGTGACTTTTTCCAGTGCAGACTCTACAGCCATATGTTGCCCAGCTCTTCCTTCACAGTGACTCCTGCTGCCTCTGGACTGCAAAGAGCATTTTTAGGAAGATGATGTTTGTATATATGTGTGTGTGAGTGTGTGTATACATACACACATTATATATAAATGCACACATACACACATATATATATATTAAAAAAACAAAAAACATCCTCCAGTCCCTTCCCCTTGATTACACAGCTTGCACCAGACCAAGAGACAAGCATGGCAAGCATGGAAGGAATAGAAGACCCTGCTCTTCAGCAGCCTTTGGTTTGGTTTGAGCTCATCGTTATAAAGGAAATGGATTTTGCAGCAAGCTAGATCTTTTCCTCCTTTCTCTAGTCCTTTCTTTTGGATGTTTAAACATTTTTTTTTTTAAGCCACTGATACTGACATCAGACRACCATATGACAAATAAATCAAAGAAACTGGAGATTCCTCCCTTTTCTTACTGCATGATTCATACTATGTCGTGGACAAATTGCCATTTGAACTGTGAGAAGTTAATGTAAATGTGACGTTCAACATTTGTTTCCTTTCTATACTTTTTTCTACATAACCTAGATCTGCTCATTAGTTTATAGCCCTTATACATATGATACTGAGGAAACTGGTTGACAGTAACATTTGTGGAGAAAGCCAGTGATTTCGTGATAGGAAAGGTCTATGACCCTGGAGAGGTGATGCATGCTAGGGACAGAGGCTTTTAGGTTAGTGTTGATCTCAAATAATTAAAACTAAAGGTGCTTACAAGACAGAGTTTTATTTAATTTTTGAAGTGTGAGAATTAAATAATTTACTTTTGTTTGTATGTATTTTGGTGCCAAATTTCAAGTCTAGACTATGATTGGCAAACATGTGTTGTTCATTCTGTTCTGTTTATTTATGTTTTGCATGAGGCATAAATGTGCTATGTTCCATTGTCCATCTGGAATAATTAAGCACTCCTTTAGTTAATTATCTTGCCTCAGCAGGAATCTTGGTATACAGCTCTAGCCTCAGCCATCAGAAGTCCTGAAATATGCTCCAATAGGGAAAAAAAGTATGGGGGAAATTTCAGTGGTAAGTTTAGATTTGTTGAGCTGGAATCTAATCTAAGTTCTTCAGGCTTCACACCGATGGGACACCTGCATTTACGATAAATACTCCAACTAACCTAATAGCAGTGCAACTGAAAGAACAAGTTTGCCAGTCCACTAAATGAAGGGAATGTCCCAGCTGAAGGCTGAACATTTCAGATGCTGAAGCTTGAGAACATGTCATAAAGGTTTCATAGGGCATAAAATATCATAACTAATAATAATGTAGTTATAAATATTGCCTGGTGATAATTATAATGTGGAGAGGCAGACAAGTATGGTCATGGCTCTTAGTAGAGACAACTTTGTGGGGAAAATTTGCCAGGGTAATATCAATAATTAAAGGGTGTGTTCAAAATAGAGCTCATGGGGAAAGATTGGCAGGATAGGCCCTTTCTTAAATAAATGCCTTTAATATATTGACCATAATAGCCCAAAACAGGTTTGAAAAGTTGGTTAGTTGAATCCTGCGGGCTGACGCTGGCGGGCGCCAGGACTGCGCAGTGTGGGGCTCGGCACAGGATGGACGTGGCTGGGGCCAGGCCGCCCGCGCCGCAGCAGAGGGGTCCTGCCGGCAGCCCACAGCAGAGACCCGTGTCCTGGGCAAGGGTGGGTTGCCGGGCAGTGCCAGGTCCACGGAGAAATAGATCAGGATCCTCTGCAGGACAGACACGTGGACATAGGCTGTTAGGACTCCTTCAGAGGTCAGACTTCACCTGCAAGATGGCCTGTCAGTTTTGGCTGTGTGACGTGAGGAAGCCCTAGGGAGCGAGGACTGCGGGTGCAGCCGTAGGGATGCAGACCCCTGGGTAAAACCCTCCTGCAGCCGCACCGTGACGGAGAGACGCTCTGCTTAGTGCAGAGCCTCAGTGCACGAAGGAGCCCGCGTCCCTGTGCGGGTCCCGACAAGGCTCCCCTCCTGCGGGCTGCCAGCTCTTATCTCTGCGAGGAGACTGTGTCACAGGCTTTCGTGGCCCACAGCCATGATGCAGGCATGGGGCTCCATTGTACTCATAGGCTTTTGCAGTGACCTTGTCCTCCTGTGGCTTTTCCAGACTCTGAGCTCCTGGACATGTTCCGGAATCAGAATAAATTCCTTTTCTTACTCCTCTGCCCGCCGCAGTTTTCCCTCCTCTTGTGTTCCCAAATAAATACTAGTTTCCCTCTGCACAATAACAAGTCTCTACAAAGAACTCAGGTGAGCTGTACTGCATGCAGGGCAGGCAGTGCGCACATTTTATATGGCAGATTATAAACATTTCCAGCATCAATCTCCAGAGATTCACCTTGCTGCCTCCCCTTTTTCCCCTGTGCTGCTTTAGAGTCACAGAAAAGCATCATCTTCACCATCTCAAACATGCCAGGTCTGCAGAGTCGCAGCCTCACCTCCCTCCTCCCTGCAGGCAGGCCCCAAATGGCCTTTCTAGTGCACACAGGCGCTTACATGAGACCTGTAATGTGACCCACAGTTGGGAGAAATGCCTTGTCCCAACGCTACCTCTTCCTAAGGAAAGGATCAGATACCCCGTTTTGTAGCTGAAGTAGCCATGATTCGTTGCTCTTCTTTGGATGGCTGTTGGCCATCTTTTTTTGTATGCCAGTGTGCTTCTATGTGCCATCACCTCCCCCCTTGGTGTGTTGGCTGATGCTGCCTTAGCTGTTTGTCCCCCTATCCTGCAGGTGTCGGTGCCACGCGCACTGCCCAGTCCAGGCCTCTGGCACGCCGAATGGTTCCTGTGCCATGCGGGCGACTGCTCATCAAGGAAGGAATGCATGGCCAGTGACCTCCAGCGGGCCTGCGACACCTGGCAAAGGCCAAAGTTCATTAAAGTAAAATAAATGTCACTTTTCTTTGTCGAGTGAATTATCCCGCTGGAGTGTGATCATTGTGGTTTTAACCTGGGACCTGCAGTAAAAGATTATATAGCAACCTCTGACCTTTCTGATTTCTGCTTTACTCTTCTATTGTCAGGGGAAATGTCACTGATCAGGTGAAAGTAAAATGTTTAATGGGCCATATCACGGTAATATCTTATACTGAGTCAAACCGATCTACTGTTGCCAAAAATTCTTAGCATCTGGCACTTCCACAGAAACCACAAACAATGATTGTACATATGGGAGCTTGGAGGCTAGAGGTCATGACAGCAGTTTATTACATGCACCTTACAGTGATCACTTTCCTAGGAAATTAACCCCATTCTAATATAAAGGCATCAAGTGAGCTCTTCGCAGTGCTTCAATCATCTTGTTTTGTCTAAGCAACAAATACACGTTAAGCTAAAGTGGTGACAAGATGCAATTAAGTAAAAGATGATTGATTGGGTTTCAGTGTTTGCTCAATAGCGTTCAAAAACAATGATTGTGAGTTCAGTGTGAATATGCTAAGCACCTTCCTGCGGGACCTCCTCATGCCGTTAGCGGGCGCGTTGGCAGTGCCGCAGGAGCCTCAGAGATGGTCGCTGCGGAGAGAGGCCCTGTGAGGTGGTTGCATGCTGCCGCCTAGGCCCAGCTTCTCCGCGGCACAACCTGCACTCCCAAGTGTCAGGTGGGTGTTCAGATAGTGTGGGTGGATAATCGCGTTGCTGTAAGTAAAATATGCGGTTGCCCCTTGCTAAGCTTCAAGCATCATCCTGGGGCTTGAGATCCTTTTTTCCCCTTTAACTGCTGTCGTCAAAGACGTGATGGCTCCGCTGCTGCCGCTGTGCCAAGAGCGGCCAGCCCTGGCACCGGGGGCGGCTGCGGGGCCGTGCAGGCTCCCCACGCACCTGAGGAGCCTTTCCGGGTCTCTAAGGAGCCCTGGCTGCTGCCCGTGGCCGCAGCGACGGCCCTCGGTGCAATGACCTGCCCCATTGCCCCCTGCCCTGCCTGCCACGCTGGGCCTCCCTCCAGGCTCCGGGCCATCAGGGGGATGCAGCACCGCTTGTCCCGACCACTCCCTTGAAATGAATGGCAGGGTGAAGAGGAAGGGCAGGAGCCTTGCAACCCCGAGCACTGCTGCAGCAGGGAGAGCGGAGCCGGCCTGTGAGAGGCCATGGTGCCGCAGCGCTCAGGGCAGCGCATCCTTCCGGCCATGGGCAGCCGCGGGGCGCAGGCTTGTCCCACCGGAGCAGCCTGCTCCCGCTGCGTTCAGGGTCCGGCCTCCTGCCCACTGCTGCCCGTACCCTGGCGGCAGCGGGACTTGCCGGCCTTCCTCGCCAAGTGGCGGCTGCCACTGCCCCACGGACACGGCCGCTCCTGCCAGGCCTGCGCCACAGCAGCTGTGAGGGAGCCGCCAGGTACTCCACATTGGGAACTCTGTTCTTAAGTGCACACCCTATTTTTTAGCTGTGTATGGCTGTATTACTTGTATATTTATATATTCTGTATTTATGTTATCAAAATGTAGTATTTTGTAGCTGTCTGTTACAATTTAACTTGTAAAAATATGAATATACTCTCTCATACTTAGTCATCTGCCTTTCACAGTCGCTTTCCTGCCCCTTTCCCTCTGTTGCTAACAAACCACCATAATGTATGTAGATTGGATTTTTTTTATTTAATTACTTGTCATTGTTAAATTATTTATTAGTGTTTTAAAATTTCATTTCACTGCATTTTTTCCAGCCGCCATTGCCTGGCAGCTAAGATACATGACAGTCTCAGACATTATGATTCTTCCTAAGTGCACGTGAAGCACACACACACATCCCCACACACACACACAAAATAGAGGGGGGGGGGGGGAAAAAAGAGAGATTACACTTCAGTATATTTGTAAATAAAAGTGACCTGTAAACAACGCAGGAACTTTCCCAGTGTGCAGTTCTTTCTGTGCAGAGCAGCGCGTGCTCTTGCATGCAGGCAGTGGTGGCCTCACAGCTTTCTCAGGCAGGAGGCCCAGGGATCGGGCAGCGGAGCAGGGCGTTTGCTCTCTCCTTTAGCAGTGAGAAGCCAGGGAGCCTCCCCGGCTCCCTCCTGCTCCTTCCTCTCTTCCAAGGGGTAGAGGTGATGACAGCCTCTCCTGGCAGCCGATTTCTTGGCCCGTGGGTCGAGTCCTCCTCGGCTGGGTGGAGCCGTCTCACCACGGCTCTCGGCCACTCCAGGGTAGCAGCAAGCCCCTGCGCAGCAAGCACCATCGCCCTGCATGCCTGCTCCTGGCTTTCCAGGCCTGATTCCCAAGCACACGGATACGACCAGGACCTGCAGTGAGGCTGGTAGTGCATTGCAACCATGGCAAGCCCAGGTGCGTTTGCCTGCTGCTGCCATCATGGGCAGTTTTGGAAGAAGAAGTATCATCCACTGCAGTGACACGGCTCCCACCGTGGTCATGCAGCTCTCAGCATGGACATGGAGCTCCCGAAATGGAGATGCAGCTCCCACCATGGACACAGCTTCCACCATGGACATGCAGCTCCTACCACAGGCATGCAGATCCCTGCAGGGACACATGATTCGCACCTCGGACACACAGCTCCCACGCTGGTCACAGCTCACACCAT